CTCAGGGCATACTTGAGAAGAGTTTGACTATTTTGGGCATTGGAAAACTTACTTCAGGGGGTACATCCTGAGAGCGACATCCATCCCAGGGCAGTACGAGAGTAACGCAGCCAGAGCGGTCTCCTCAAACAGTCCAAAAATGAGGATCTTGTTTCTGGAAGGAAACAGGACACACATGTCAGGAAAATGGGGAAAAGGTGCAACATTTCACTGCTCTGTAGTTCTCTCTGTTTCTCTCCTGCCCTCTCCACCTCTCTGTTCTTTCCTTGCCTGAGAAAAAAAACACTCCACTTTTCTCTAATCCCATTTACCCAGCATTGGTCCATAGCTGTGGTGTCACAAGTGCACATCTAAACTTTTCTTCAATATGATGAGCCCCCAAGGCAACATCTTGGCAAATCTCCCTCTGCACCCTCTCCCAGTGCTATATTCTGTCCCTCCCAGAATGTGGATTCCAGACCTTGTTGCAAAGTTGGATAGAGTATTTGTGGATTGGAAGGCAGGATGTTAGAATATGATGTTTGTAAAATGATACAGGAAAGATTGCATGGTCCCTTTAAAAGATGGTGTTTTTTTTCTCGGCTTGGAGATTAAAAAGAATGTGCAGATGCACAAAGAGTTCCTGAAATTGGAACATTTGTATCAAAAGGCTGTGGGGTTAGCAATCCAAGCAGTAGTTTGTTTTGTTATTAAAGCAACCAGTTTGAAAAATTAGCCAATTAATTTGAACCAGGTACTTAGAGACTAACAACCAACTAAAATTAAATCTGATAGTTTTGATAACCTAGGACAAATCTTTTTGGAAGAAATTGATAGGTTATCAAGGGTATAAAAGAAGACAGCATTCAAAAATCGGTGTGAGAGCACCTGCCATCTCATAGAGTTAACAACTCATCAGCTCTAAAGAGAAAATCACTGGCTCCAATAGAATTCTCTAAACTCTCAGGAAACCATCATCTAACTACAGATATAGCAGCACTTTTAGCTAACATTCCTGACACAAGAATTTGACAGAGAAAGGTGTTCCTGACTGAAGAACAGTGGAGAAGGCTCCGAACATTCCAGAAGATGGATCCTGGCTGTAATTTCGAGAGACCAAGTTTTAAATAATTTTTTTTATGTAGGTGGGACTTGTATTTATTGGAGCAGCATACGTTAGAATTTTGGTTTATTCAGGAATAGTTAGTAATTATGGGGGAATTGTTCGGTTTGTTCGTAGTTCTCCTAATTTGTTCACTGTTAAAGCTAGATAAATGAATTGTTATTTGATTATAGAGTGACTATCAGGAGTTAATTCCATTTAACCTCCTCTTTATCACAGAATGGTGGTGGGGGGGGAGAGAAGAGATAGAGGCAGGTTAAATCACTTTGCACATTTCTTTACAACAGATTAGGAGGCGAGGCGAGCTTCTCTGGGTGTTTCAGTTTTGGATATTTTGGTGGGGGGTGGGATATCAACCTCTGCTTCATAACAAACTGCATACAATACTCACGCTGTGTATTTATACAGTTCCAGCATTACCTCCCTGCTCCTAAACTCTCGGCTAATAGAGGCAAGTATCCCATAATGCTTTATACACCTGTCCTGCTGCCTTCAAGGATCCACGGGCATATACACCAGGTCCCTCTGATCCTTGGTGCTTCTCAGGGTCCTACTGCTCATCATGTATTCCTTTGACTGGTTTGTTCTGCCCAAGCGCATCACCTCACACTTCTCCAGGTTGGATTCCATTTGCCACTGATCAGCCCGTCTATATCCTCCTGTAAACTAAATTCTCATCCACTGTCTTCCTTTAGCATCTGTGCTGTAATTAATGGTTGTGAGAGCTCTAACTTATTATGAAGCTCACTGAGGGACATTTAGACTAGCCCTGGCTGAGATCTTGCTGTCTACAATTCTCTGGATCCTCACTATTGTTGGTGCAGTGGGCTCACACAGTGCTAGAGCCATCATTCCATCTTAAAGCCCCCTTTAAAGGCTTCTGTTTCGGAAAGCCACATGGTGCTGCTTTATACAGGTCAGTGAATGCCCTGATGTTGCATGACACACCCGTGTCCATCGGACACATTATGTTGATACAATGTTCTCCTTCTGCAATCATCATTCTAACCCTAACCCTACCACACTCACTGACTTTACTCAAACCAACCTGTTATACTTGATTCACCCAAATATTCAGCCGATATCTCTCTGATTACTTTCCATCTCTACCTGTGTTCTGCTCCTTTCTAGCCAGACACTTGTACAAAATAATTCAGCTTCTTCCCATGAGAACACAACTTGCTACATGCCAGATATTCCTTCATCGGCAGCTCGGTGGTTAGCACTGCTGTTTCGTAGTGTGAGGGATCTGTTTCGATCCCACCCTCGGGCGACTGTCTGTGTGGAGTTTGCACATTCTGTCCATGTCTGCGTGGGTTTGCTCCAGTTTCCTCTCACAGTCCAAAGACATGCATGTTAGGTGGATTGGCCATGTTAAATTCTCCCTTAATGTTCAGGGGTGTGTAGGCTAGATGGGTCAGCCATGGGAAATATGGGGTTACAGGGATAGGGTGGGATGCCGATCGGCATGTCAGTGTGGAATCAATGGGCTGAATAGCCTCTTTCCATCCTCTATGCTTTTGTCCCTGAGTATTCTGCCCTTTGGCCTGGAACATCTAGCAGCTTAATGTAAGGATCTAGTCTATTCTGCCAAACTCCCTACACTAACTGATTTCGATCACCAGCACCTTTGCAAATGTCAATAGCTTACCCAAGTGTACATTTCTCCTCTCTCTGTTAGACGCACTCTCACTGCAGAATCTCTATTGTCAAATATAACCCTGGTATTTAATTAGATAACTGTGTAATAGGACTCTGCGAGCTGTTTTAATGCAGTCTCATCTTGACCAATGAACTTTCTTTTACCATGTGCCCTAACATTGAACACATCCTACTCATTAATTTCTTTGAGGTTCAAAGTGTGTCATCAGTGCGTTCAAAATTTTAGGTTATCCACTTTTTATTCTTTAATGGAGAGAGCACTTTGAAACAGTCTTTCCTCAACAGTGATAAAAGTGAATCCCTTGCAGCTGTACTGGCTTTCATGAATTAAATCTGTTCGAATTGTATTAACTTGTCACAGTGAGTGAAAACTCTGCCAGTTTTGCTGAGAGTGTAAAGTTTAGAGGGATCATGTCTCATCTGTGGCCTGCGTTGTAGTTCCCAATCTGTTGCTTCCTGCAGCTCTGAGCAATCCCCTGATAGACCTCATCAACATTATCTCCATATCTCTTGCAGTATTCCCTCAGCACTGACCCTCCGACAGTGCGGCACTCCCTCAGCGCTGACCCTCCGACAGTGCGGTGCTCCCTCAGCGCTGACCCTCCGACAGTGACGCGCTCCCTCAGCGCT